TACTATGTTTGCTTCGTAATTATGCCCGTATTGATTTAGGTGGTTTAAATACATCACTGAGCAGATCGATAAGTGCAAATCGGAGGACCAGCAGAAGGTCGCTACAGACATCGACTCTGGGTTTAAATCTTCATTGCCAGAAGATCACTTATATGAAGTTCCGACGTCAGTTCAAAAGGCCGCTGAGGAAATGAGGTACAATACTACTCCGTCTCTTAAGTTGAACTAGATCAGGTGTTTTGTTTTCAGGAAAGATATTGTGAGTGACACTTACGCTCAGAGACAGGTGGAACTTGTGCACATCGTCAGCCAGCCGGGCCTCATCAACCCGTCTGAAGTGTCCGTCTGCCAACCGACTATATTCGAGCAAGCAGAGCCTGTTCTAACTCCTCTGGGTACGTCTTTCATTTCGAAGCAAATCGCGGTTTGATGAATCGTTATAGAAAAGATCAAACGGGACGATGATGTTATTATGAAGTGCATAATCGAGAAACAGAGTATCGTTTCGCAGCTGCTGTGTATGGCGTCTGATACATCTCTGTCACCTGCCAATGTGCATCTACCTGAGGGAAAAAGTGGCCGAAATGCCAGAGAAGATATTTTTTTCGCCATTGTACAAAGTAAGCGAATGTTTATAATATTAGTATTAGTATATGATTATACCGATTCCAAGGTAGATTGGTCGATCGTGGCTCAGTTATTCGGTCCCGCAGTTGGCTGCCTAGTTAATCAGAGCACAAACTTTCACAGATCTTTCACTTTCAAGTCCTAGACTTTTCTTTTGGTATTCAAAAGCCCGTAAGGAATATGACTACCGTACAGTAGCCCTGGTTGATTTTTTGACGATGTGACTAACCGCGATTAATGTACGCATAGTTAAGAAGTTGTCTTATATATTTGCAATTTCCGTCTCCTCTTCTTACTGACGTCTTGAGACAGTTTTATCTCTCTCAACCAGCTGGTTTTCATTCTTATTCATTTTTATTTGCTTCCAAACGTTAAAATCTTTCACCACACTAAAAATTATTGCCACTTCATCGACAAAGAAACTTATTCAATGAGCCCTGTTGCGCTTACGAGCAAAAAAATGCCTCTGATTGAATCCAGAGCGCTCAGACTTGATCAAATGGAGGTAACGAGTGTATAAGATCCACGCCCTCTTTTACTAAATATGCAATTTAAAACATGACCAGGAAAAAACGGAACTGCATATTCGCTGTCCCTACATTTAAGAAGCAGTACAGTCCGAAGATGTCACGACCTGTTTGTCATAGTACTCCAGACTACCAGGAAACTGTTCGCTTGAATCACTATGGAAGATGTGAAGAAGGCAACTGATGTAAATCTTCAAATCATTCATACAGTCTTCCGGAGTGGTCTTCCTACCCTGGCCTTAGTTTCACTCTTACTAGAATTACGGAGCAGTGCCGACTATTCTATGTTCTTTGGTTTGTCACTTTTGGTCAGCTTTAAAGCACGTCTCGATTCGCAATGTTTTCGAAAGACACTGACCATCATCGTGGCACTAAGAATTGACAGTTTATTTATTCGTCAGTTCATGCTATTAACAGACAAAAATTATTGTTGTATCGATGAATGGCACGCAGCTTTTCCTTGTACCCATCATCGTATCCATCATAAGTAAAAATCGCTTAAAAATTTGCTGTGCGAAGTGACTACCGTGTAATTGTGTCGTGATGTCGTCTGTCGATCACCAGCAACGCAACAAGAATCAAGACTATGACTATGTTACAAGTGTAGGCAACAATTTCTGAGTGATCAGTAAACCATCTGCTGATCATCTCCTGAACCGACAGCATTAAAATATTTATTTGTTTTGATTATTACTGCTGATTATTTTGATTTTTATTATTTTTGCACCTTTTTCAGCCAACAAACTTCTGGAAGCAATAAACGAACGAACGCGGGTCGTCGTGGTGCCTAACGATGGCGGTACTTCGCAGCTTGATTTGCCGGAAGTCACCGGCCCGTCCGTGCCTTGCTCGCAGCTGACGCAGATCGCGGCGCCTCTGATGAATCACCTATCTCATCTTCTGCAAAACCTTCGCATTATGGAGGATGATCTTCGGAGAATGCAACAAGAATTGCGCCAATTCAAAATCCAAAAGCAGGGCTTGCCGGAAGTATCTGTTTCGACCAAACCTTCAGAGAAGGTTGAGGAAGGTGTGGACACAGATGATTGCCCATTTCTTACCGTCTGTGAGCATGCCAACGTGCAGACCGTCATAGCTGATCGATTTGTCAATGAAGACGTTTCACAAATACACTCCGTCGAACAACAAGTCTCCGCTTCTTTCGACTTCCCTCGATTCGTCGTTTCGAGTGACGTTTTTCATTCTTGCCCAGATGTTAAAGTTTCGCGTGCGTCGTGTACCGGAACCTTTCTTTGCCAGAAAGCCATCAATGGTAAATTATCTCTCTGTTACTATTAACATTTTCTACACGTTTGTAGTGAGTTGTATCTTGAAAATTATTTTAAATTTTATTTCCTCTAAATACTCATTGCTATCAGTCAATCATCTTCATCTTCCATCGCCGCTTCTCCTTTTGGGTCGCTGAGGCAGACGTGTCAGACAGTGCTTCCAACGATCCCGATCCTGTACCAGAGTTTGAGCTTCGGCAAAAGACAAATGCAGCCTGGAACGGACTCCTTCCATATGTTTGCTCCAGGTTAATCTTGGCCGTCCCCTGGGCCTTTTGCCGGTCAGATTTGCAAGCAACAGTTGCTTAGCCTTCCTTTCTGCAGGCATTCGCAACACATGCCTAAGCCATCGCACCTGTGACTTCTCAATCTGGAGAAGCAAAGGCAGTAATCCAAGGCTCTTCCGGATGTCACTGTTCCGGGCCATGTCGAGACGCGTAAGGCCAGCGACTCGTCTAAGA